CTTATAATGTAAGGCAAGCTTCATTGTAACTATTGCTCATTCTTAAAGGTATAGCGGAGGATTTTCTTTTTCCGGGTGGGTAGTCTATACTATTGGTCCACCTAAGTGTCAATCATTCTGGTGATATGTTTACGCAAGGCCGTCGTACGTGCTCATCCCTATGTAGTTTTCACTTTCAGGTGTATTATGTCGGAGTTACGGTTTCAGCCATTCCTTTGAAAATGGCTGAGGGTCGAAAGAGAAAAAATGTTTACGAAGTGTTTGATAAGAAGAGAAAGGCCGCAGGATATAGAAACAAGACCAGAGTGATTTTGGGTGAATCACACGCTGGCGTGCGCTAAAAGCACAGGCTGGGCTTCTCACTGATGCCGCAGTCGCGAAGATTCTACCAGACAGGTAAAGTTTGTCACGCTATTTGTAGAAATCCATTTAAAATCACTAGTAAAAGTTAATGCAAGCTACAATGCTAGCCCTGGCACGAGTCATGCACCGCATAGACACGGTAAACATCTCAATTTGTCTAAAGTAGCCTTTTGACCAAAATGGTAAATGACGCTGAAATATTCTAAAACCTTGTGTGTTCATATTCTAAAACCTTGTGTGTTTATTATTACACAAATGCAACAAGCTACTTCTCCATATGCAACTATGTATAAAAATAACGAATTAACAATGAGAGATATTAGGTTAAGGACCAACGTAATAGCACTGCTTATATGTTGCTATGTAACGTAATTGCGATTTGCAAAATAGTTTCCTCAGAACGTATTTCGTGTGATACAGGGTTGCACATATCATGTCTTGAGTCCTCGGTCACTCAATCGATCAGTATAATAAGTAAATAAAACACGGAAGGGCATTTGACATGTTGTCTCTTATATGAATACTTTTGAGTTAGTTTAGAATTTGCAACATAATTGTGTAAGGCGTAATAGACGTTCCCTCTCGGGAGCAAGAGTGTTGTGTTTGTGCATGTGCATTTTTTTTTAAATTGGAGAGGGCGGGTCTTCTCTAAAATTCGGAAAGATCCTCCGCTATACCTTTAAGGTTTTCACTTAAAAAAAAAAAAAAAAAAAAAAAAAAAAAAACTTTTGCTGCTAATTTACTCACCCCCATGCCATCCAAGATGTCCATGTCATTCTTTCTTCAGCCGAAAAGAAATTAATGTTATTGATGAAAACATTCCAGGATTTTTCTCAATATAATGGACTTCATTAGGAACCAAACGGTTCAAGGTCCAAGTGACAGTTTCATTGCAGCTTCAAAGGGCTTTAAACGACACCAGACGATGAATAAGGGTCTTATATAGCGAAACAATTAGTCATTTAAAAAAAAAAACAGAAGAGACACAAACACTCATCACAGAACAGAGAAAGGCAAGCAATCATGCTTATAAAACGTAAACTTTATTTATTTTTGAAATGAGCAATCGTTTCGCTAGATAAGACCCTTATTCATCATCTGGTGTCGTTTAAAGCCCTTAGAAAGCTGCAATGAAACGGTCATTTGACATATGCAACTTTGCCCGTAAAGGTAATGGGCGTGAAGTATCTGGACAACGTGCACTACAGTTTAGCCAATCAGAACACACTAGCCCAAACTAACCAATCTGAGCTCATTGCCTGTTTCTGAGGGAGTGTTTTCATAGATTCAGAAAGGTCAACCCGTCGTTCAAATGACAGAGGAGAAAACGGCTTATAATAAAGGTGAAATTAATGAAAAATAAGACTTTTTAAAAAAAGAAAAACCACGAATACATGTTATATTGCACCCCATAAACACAATCATGCAAAGAAAAAAAAAAAAAAAAACAGTAAACCACTCCTTTAAAACAGGCCATCCTTTTATTCTTTATTTTGTGACATTTTTCCTAAAAAGAAAAAAAGCCTATTCCAACATGACATCATGACTTTTGCGTAAACATACACGCCACTTTCAAGTCAAGTGGCATGCAATCTATACGCATTTTGAGCTATCCGCATGCATGCGTGTATTTACACGCCGTTAAATGTTCGAGCAAAACGATGCAAAACTGAGATCTACAGTACATCTGGGGAGCGATATTTTTTTTCCTAGGATGGTAGGAGAACACTCATAAATGCTATTAACCGCAGTGACGGGTAGGTTTAGGGCCAGGGTTGGGGTAGGTCAAATATATTTATATATAGAGTAGAGCCAGACCGATATATCGGCCGATGTTAGGCATTTTCCAAACTATCGGTATCGGCAGTTATAATGGCCGATAAATGAATATTTCAAAAATAAAAACGGACAAAAGACGCTTGAACCATGTCATGAGTGTTGGAGTTGTGTAGTTTGTCCACCAGAGGGCACTCTACACCGTTCCTGTTGGCAACACTCGTTGAGTTGGTCACGATAAATACATTTAGGGCTGGGCGATAAAACGATAACGATAATTATCGCGATATAATTTTTCTCGATAAAACGATATCAAGAGGTCGATAAATGTCCGATAATGTTTATGCGCCAAAAGCGGAACGAAACTCATTTGAACCGCGCTCGCCACACGGAACATTTATCCGCTCGGCTCAAAGTCCAAACGGCAGTGAGCGCACCGCAGCGCGAGCTCGCTGGAGCAGACGCGATTGCTTTGATCGTCTCGCTCAAGACATCCAGCGAGAAGCGCTTGAGTTCAGCGAAGAACACAGATGTCAAGTTTAAACCAGTTTAGGGCAGATAAAACACCGCTGACAAAAAGGAGAAACACTGTGTGCAACGATCCAGTCAGAATCTGAATTGATACTGAATCCATTTAGCTTACCATGGATTTACTGTAAGGTTAGCCAAGTAATATTAACTGCACCATGAAATGTGGGATATACATATTTAATTGTATAATATTATTAATGTAGACAATTCATTAAATGTCTTATGGAATATAAGTACAGCATTTAATAATGTATTTAACTGTTAGGCCACTGTTTTCATACAAATACCACAGAAACCATAAAGTTACATTTTGCCATGATAGTGAGGTGCTAAGTTATAGGCTATGCCTGGTTTTATCTGTGGTTATCATCATCTAAATGCATGAGACTGGATGACCAATGGTTAATTTTAATACAACTCAGTCAGAATATTACATTTTACCAAATAAAAATGTTGTCATTACATAAAAAAAACAAAAAACAAACAAACAAACAGATGTTACTGTTTTTGTTAATGAACAAATTTAACATTAGCTTAGTATTAGCTTGAGTTAGGATGCAGATTTACTGTCAACTCACTGTCAAATATGCATTTTGAGATAAAACATGTAATTTTAATATTGCAGCCTGCACTACAAACTGCTGAAGAAATATTTTTCTATTGAGATATTTATTTTATGGAAAAATGTCTGAATGTTCTACCTCATATTTGTGAAATGTTCACCTGTTTGGCAAGTGTTTGTCATGATATGTTCTGACAATAAAGAGTAGTTTAAAACCACAATTTACGCTCTGGTTAATACAACTTTCACTTAGGAGCAAAAATCTGCCTTTAAACTTGAAAGAAATAAAGATTTGACATATATCGTGATAATTATCGATATCGACTGATATAAAAAAAATTATCGTGATAATTTTTTTTGGCCATATCGCCCAGCCCTAAATACATTGCTTGTATAACACATAAAAGAACATCCCCATCAGTTATCTTTACTCAAATAATCATGACAAAATTTGTGACTATCAAGTCCAGTTTAAAAATAAATAAATAAATAAAATATCGGTCGATATATCGAATATCGGATTTTAAAACTCAAAAATATTTGTATTGGTATCGGCCTTCAAAATCCTTTATCGGTCAGGCTCTAATATAGAGTAATGTAACGTTAAGTCAACTGCATTCATAAACACGCTGAAAAGCGATTATGCGTGTTGATAGCACGCCAAAAATGGAAATACGAATTGGCGTGTCATATATTCGCCATTTCATGAGATCAGTCTGCCTATTCGGTGCAATATTTGCATTTCTATGTAAAGTGCAATAACTTCATACCTTTATTTGAAAGTTCAATATTTACAACAACATATTTAAAAAAAAAAAAAATGTATCATGTTTTCCACAAAAATATGAAGCAGCACAACTGTTTTCAACACTAATAATAGTAAATGTTTTTTTGAGCAGCAAATCAGCATATTAGAATGATTTCTGAAGGATCTTGACACTGAAGACTGAAAAGTCAGCTTTGATCACATGAATAAATGACATTTTATAATAGAAGTTATTTTAACTCTAATAACATAACATTTGATCAAATAAATGGGTTGCACTTAATTTTAAGGTAACAATGGCACTGTAGTTAAATTAGTACCACGCAATATCAATTAACTACATCTATGGTTAGTAGAGTTTGGTTTAGAATTGGTCACTTGTAATTATGCATAATTTACTGTTATTACGACATGAATTAACATGTAACTACACCACTTTAAAATAAAGAGTTGCCAATAAATGCGGCCTTAAATAAACACCACACTTTTGAACAGTAGTGTACTGTATATATATATATATATATATATATATATACATACACAAAAAAATCCAGAATGAAATCTCACATCTTTAATAACAATAGTAAACGATCTTACCCAACATGATTTTCCTTTTGAAATAATGCCCTGTAATTGCTACACAAAAGACAAACACAAGTTAATGGAGCCGCTACACAAATGGTGAATTCAGCTAAAGCATCTCAACGTCAAAGGCGTCCCAATTTACCCTATGCCAGCATTCATTAGTTAAAGGAGCAGTTGCAACGCCATTGTTGTGCAGGATTCGGCTGAACTCTGCACAGCCTGTGCCAGAGCGCCACCAAGTGGTGGAACAAAGAAAATCGACAGACCCAAGCACTGGCAACATGCATTTAACGTGCAGAGGAAGCTGCTGATGACTAATTAAATCTGCTGTCGCCTTTAATGACGCGCAGATTTATCGCCACATATGGAATTGTAAAACCTCCAATTCCCTGCGAGGAATAAAAAAAACACTTGAGATTGCAGAGGAAGATCAACCTTTATTTATTGAAACTGCTTGCATACAAAATATATTGCACTATAACCAAACAATGTCAACATAAAACCCAGTCTGTTCTGCTATTATGTACAAAGAAATTATTACCCAAAGTGCAGTAACATACAAGGTCAGTCTACCTCAGTTCATTATCTACAGTATTTCATGTTTTTTTTTTCTTTTTCTTGTTGTTTTGTTTTTCTTTTCCGCTCTTTTTTTCAATCACAATAGCCTATGATGTGTGCAAGAGATGGTTTTACAATTTGTCATTTTCATATACATTCCAAAAAATAAATAACTAGAAAACAGTCTGTTTGGCAACACTTCAAAGATTCGGAACAGTATTATTATTATTATTTTGTTTGTTTGTTTGGAACAGAGCCGTCTTGCCAGTTCACTGCCCGCCGTGGACGTGCAGGTTTTTAAAAATACTGAGAGTAAACCATTCAACACCTTAATTTGAAGTAAAGGCTAAATTTAAGAGCCACGCGAAAGGGGCCGCCTCGATTTTTTTCAAGAGTGGTTCGTCTTTCCCGACCCGCAATCCTCTGCCAGTCACAGGTTCTTTTGACGTCTCCGAAGCCTTTCGTTCCGCTTTCACAGGCAAATCACTTTAAAACTGGTGTAAAAGCTTAACAGGTAGAGCTGGTAATCTGCCAAGGTGACTAGCGAGAGTACAGGAGCATAAAGAGAAGTCGAAAACGTAGAGGAAAAAGAGCAAAGAGGATAACAAACGACCGGTTTTCTTGCTGTACAGTCAAATGAAGAAGCAGAAAAACTACCATGGTTACCGTCACAGTAGGCTTCGAAAGAGTCGTGGGTTAAGAAACAGCATCGCGTCTTAAAAATGTAAACTAAAGTTTAATGCACAAGCACTAATCGGATAAGACAGACGGTTTTCATATCAAAGTTAACATCGTGTCGCCCCCTTCTTCTCCCTCTCGAAGCGAATTCAGCTGCAAAAAGTACAGTAGACTCAAAATTAGCGAAGATATCTAAACTTCCGTTTAGTTATGTTGACAGCATACATGTGATTCACCTGCCGAGGAAGTCTTATCACATTCTAGTTTATTATAGGTTTATAGATTATAAAGTACTTGCAGAGTAACACAAACATGATAAGTGCACATTTAAAGTTCAATCTAAAAAGAACAGCAACAATCTCTTAACGGATGACATAATATACAGAATGCAACCCCAGTTGAACATTTTTCAGTCTATGATGAGCCGTTGTTAGGACGAAGACAATGTTACATAGAGTTGATATAAGTGCTTAAAACACCTGATGCTGAAAAATACAGCAGGAACGATGGCAGTTTACTGTGGTCAGCGTGAACGGAAAAGAAAAAAAAGGGCGTTTCCACCCACAGAGAAAAAAAAAGAAAATCACCTTGTGTCGCTTATGATGGAAGGTAAAATGAGAGAAATCAAAGACATTTATTTAAAGGAACCTGCTTTGCTACTTCTATAGAAAAGAAATTCGGAATCGTTCTACAATGCAAAGATATGCTAGATGATATCAAAATGTATAATTGGTGATGCTTACGTCACTGAATTAGCGTTGCTATTCGTCTCTGGGTGGTTGGTTACAATTGATGACTTCCACAGTTGACTAGGTTCGTTAGGTTAATACCTTTACTACTATGGTGAAATATAATTCGGCCGACTTGATAGAATCCTGCTTTTCAGACATACAAAATGTTCATGATTTACATGCAGCACAGAAAAAAAAACACCTTTTTTTTTAGTCGTCGGCTGAGATTTCAACACTCAGACAGGTGTTGTTCACGTCTTCTTCCCTGATTTAAACAACCAAATTATGATACTATCCACACTAGTTGAAGGCACAGATCCAGACAGGAGCATTTTTTCTTGTTGTTTACATAGTTTACCATTTTTTTTTTCTTTTTCTTTTTTTTGCTAATAATGTGGCTAAGATCTCACATCAGAATGGGCTCGAGTGACCACGGACACCAAAGCGTGTAAAAACAATGTATGCCATGAGGTGTGGCATAAACTTGTGCCCCCGAGCGCTTGAGTTCATCCTCCAATGTGTTACTTTCCCTTTATTGGACATTGTGGAAAACAAAAACTTTAAAAACCAATTGCTTGGAAAACTTTTTTTTCTTTTTTTTTAAGTCACGATTCCATTTGAGAGACATTTAATCCACAGCTTCTTTAAGTTTCATAGGTAGTTATTTAGAAAGTCAATTAGAAAACCTGTAGCTTCAGTTGTGATCTAGAGACCGGTCTCTCTAATCCACGAAGACTACCAAATTCCACACACACCATACACCAAGAGACCTCGTCTTTTTACCCCCACTATCAATTACAAAGTGTGCTTTATGTCATGTCTTGCGACAGCCCTACTGACCTGGTTCTCTTTGGCCTAATGTGTCTCTAATGAAGAAGCATCGGATCGGTGGAGCTGAGTGGGACAATGAGGGGAAGGGGGCGATTTATTCTCTACGAAACGCCATTCACAACGGCTTGGCTGTCGGGGACATCCTGCTTCTCTTTCTTTATCACTCGGTCCTTTATGGGTCTCTGCCGGTTCCCTCCACTGTCTCCTGCCAGAGCTTGAGAGCCTCGGCTGGTGTGGACGCTCCTCTCGTTATTGCTGTCGATGCGGATCTGGCAAATGCACAGATTGGACAGGTTATACAAGATGAAAGCTTTCACACATTAAGCAATGCAGTAGGGATGTCAAAAAGTACCAGTTCCAAATTAGTTTGTGTTTTGTTCTTTGGACACTGCTAATAATAACTCAAAAACTTCCATTACATGTAAATTGTTTAGCTCGATAGGCTGATATAATCTGATTTTTCATCTCTTCAGCGAAGCTCTCGCATCGCTGGATCCAGAGTGAAGAAGCCACGCCGTCTGAGAAAGAGCTTTCTGTGGGTCGAGCCTTTGCACCTGAAGCCGCTGGCCTTAATCTCACTCTCTCCATCTAAACGAGCAGCGTCTTTTTAAAGATGCCTCGTTCCTGTGGTTCGTGCCAAGCCGCACTCAGTGGAGGAGACCGCCATTTCTTCTGCGTTTCATACCTGGGTATGGATCATGCAGCTCTCGCGCTCGCTGACGGCGGATGCCATCATTGCGAGCTATTACCCATGGTGACTGAGGACTCACCTGGCATTTTTTCGCCGCAAAAAACAGTTCTCCAGCCCGCGAAAGTTCGCCGGTTTGCCCGCCAGCTTCACTCGAGTCGCTCACCGATGGCCAACGACCTCCATCGCCTCCACCATTGATGACGATGAGATAGCTGCATCTGTAGAGGAGGCCAGCTGCTCTATCCTGACGTCGGACATTGAGGATTGAGCAAGCTCTGCAAGCTCTCGCTCTCTATCAGCCAAAATGGAGTCGAGCACGGCCAGGCTGCCTGTCGTGATCAGCGCGACCCCTGCCTCAAACGCTGCACGCACAGTGTTTACGTTACAGCACACCGAAGCTCTCCGGTCGCCACTATGTTGCGGTCAAAGCCCAGATGTCATTCTACCCCTAGCTATTCATGCAAATGCGTGGGCAAAGCTTCCCGGGGTAACAGAATGGGTGCTAAAAAATTATAAAAAGAAGCTATTCGCTGCAGTTTGCTCATCTAATTTGAGCCGAAATAACGAAACTATTGAGCAAGGGGCCATAGAGCCTTTATGGGGTCTATACAGCAGATATTTTCTGGTACCAAAAAAAAGACGGGGGTATCGGACCCATTCTAGATCTAAGACAGCTGAACAAAGTGCTTGTGAAACGCCACTTCAGAACGCTCACAACCAGGAAAATCCTCATGCTAAGAGGACTGGTTTGTCAATAAATCTGAAGAATACGTATTTCCAATTACAAATAGCGAGTCACGTCACAGGCGATTCTTAAGATTCGCCTTCGAGGGCCAGGCATATCAATACACAGTCCTACTGTTTGGCCTTTCCCTAGCACCCCGCACATTTACAATGTGCATGGACGCGGCTCTCGCACCCCTGGTTCTTCGGCCAGAACAGGAGAAGCTTATACACATAAACTGTCTGTAGAAGCATGTCAGTCGACAACACGCTGAGGCGTTTTTGTTCCCAGATAAAAAAAATAAAGAAAAAAAAAAAAAAAAAATCACCACATCTTGGTCCACTCGGACAACATGTCAGTGGTGGCTTTTATAAATTGCCAGGGTGGCATCAGGTCCCGAAACCTTTACAAGTTGACGGAACGCCTCCTGGTTTGGGTTCAGCACAATCTGCGCTCATTTACCCCTTTTCAACCACAAAAAGAACTGGTTTGGAACTGGTGCTGGTTCAAAGTTGGTTCGGAGTTGGTTCAACTTGCGAACCGCTTCAGAACCTATTTGTTTTTCCACTGACTAGAGCGCCCAGGGAACGACGTTGTTACGTCACTGTGTACGTCGCCATACGTCTTAGCTAGAAACGCTTGCAAATACAACCTTACTTTCGGATTACCTCTAACTCGTGTACCAAGAAATCTTTAAAAACAATTGAAATATGTACGTCTTTTAATCTTTTCGTTTGATATGTAATTTTTTCTGATAAGTTATGTACCCCTGTAATTGTGACTTTTTTTCTTTCCATTTATTTGTTCTATATTGTGACTTTTCTTCTTTGCTTATAATGTCTTCAATAAAAAAAACTGCATAAATAGAAATGCTTGCGTTAACTTCAAGCATAACAATTACAAAGGCGGACTCTATCGTGTTTCTGCAAATGTTTCTCTTGCCTTTGCGATCCTTTATGTTTAGAACACATCTAAACCCGCCCCAGCTCTCGACGTAAGCATGACGTGGTAAAAGAACAGTTCTAGTCCAGCAAAGTTGGTGCCGCTTTGGAACCAGTTCTCCTGGCCGAGAACCGGTTCTTTGGCTGTCAAAACACAAAGAACTGGTTCGCACGCAGTCACCGGCTCCGAACCGGCTCTCAAAATGCTTTGGTGTAAAAGGGGCTATTGAGAGCAGCACATGTGCCAGGTCACCTGAATTTTGGAACAGACAGACTGTCCAGAAACAATGTTCCAGCAGGAGAATTGTCTCTGCACCCACAGACGGTCCAACTGGAGTGGGAGACATTCGGCAGAGCACAGGTACACCTGTTTGCGTCCCAAGAAAGCGCTCACTGTCCGAAGTTTTTCTTCAAGTCTGGCCCCGCTGCCGACTCTATGCCTTTACCCCCGTCTCGCTCCTGCCTCAGGTATTGGAACGAATCAGGGAAAATGGATGCTCAGTGCTACTTGCGGCTCAGCTCTTGAAAAACAGGCTTGGTTCCTAGTTCTCATGCAGCTGACAAGCACTGCCCCATGGCCAATACCAATGAGGAAAGACCTCCTCTCTCAAGCCCCTTGGCTCGATTTGGCATCCTCGTCTGGAGCTGTAGTCCCTACATGCATGGGTCATCAACCGGTACCCGCTAACCTACTGGAGGGAGTGTTAAACACGATCACGCGGGATAGATGCCCGTCTACTAGACGACTCTATTCCCCAATATGGTCTGTGTTTTCTGGCTGGTGCAAAGCTCGAGACTGTGGGGTTACAGAAGTTTTCTACTTACTTCAAGAGCTACTGGATAAGGGCAGAACCCCATCCAAGCTCAAGGTTTATGTGGCGGCCATAAGCAGTGTTTTCTAAACCAGCAACTGGCCAGTCACTGGGGAATAACGATCTGGTCATCCACTTCCTTAAGGGAGCTAAGAGGCTGAATCCTCCCAGACCCCATTCAGTCCCCACTAGGCTTGCCGCGATAGACGGTGTTGACGGTGTTACCGGTTTTAAGCCCCATCACCGGTGACATCACTTTCCCACCGTGACACCGCGATGTCTTGACTTTTTTTTTTAAGTATTCGTTTTTGCTAAAATATTTATTTGAATTAATTAAAAATAATAATTTTCAATTATTTAGTTCTGAAGAGAGCATTATAATTAAAAATGAACTGCGCAACGCGTGCCGTCACGTCACAGATCAGCAAGCATCAGGATTCCATTTAGCACGTGTGGAGACGAGAACGAGTCAAATTACAGAAAAGCAAGATAATGGCGGAAGATTTGGTGTCAAAACGCAATGCAAAAGCGCCTGTTTGGCAATATTTTGGCCAATATATATTAATGTTAATAAATGCCAATTTATAGTGTTTTACTTTTTTTTAGAGTGCTGTCATTTATGTAGGCTAAGGTCCTTTTTAAAGTTTTTATTTTATATTCGTCTCTTTTTATTTGGTTTTATCTTATTTAAACTTTGTTTAATTCTTTTAGGCCTATTTTGTTTTCTTATTCGTTAATAAACGTTTTATTTTTTTTGGGCCCACAGTTTGCCGATTTTCACTTTTTTCAGCCTATGCATGGGGTTATTTTTATTCGTTCGTTATGCTAATAAAAGTTCTGTCTATATTTTATTCGTTTATTATTCTAATAAAAGTGCTGTCTAAATAAAAGTTTATTGTCAGCGAGTTGTTTTTTTTTTTTTTTTTTTTTTTCCATTCCAGCAATTGACGCTGAATTGCAATTGACGCTTATTTCGAAAGTGAAAGTATGTCATTTATGTAGGTCCGTTTTGAAGTTTTTATTTTATATTCGTCTCTTTTTAATTGGTTTTATCTCATTTAAACTTTGTGTAATTTATTTAGGCCTATTTTATTTTCTTATTCGTTAATAAACGTTTTATGGTTCTTATTTGTTTGGGCCCACATTTTGCCGATTTTCACTTTTTTCAGCCTATGCATGGGGTTATTTTTATTCGTTCGTTATGCTAATAAAAGTCTATAAATAAAAGTTTTATTATCAGCAAATTGTTGTTTTTTTTGTCCATTCAAGCAATTGACGCTTATTTCGAAAGTGAAAGTATAACGCGCACGCATTTAAAAGCTATTTAACCCCCCCGCCCTGCCCTCCACTGTGACACCGGGATTACCGGTGTTGTCACACGTCGATTAACCGGTGGGAAATTTTCCTCACCGCGGCAACCCTAGTCCCCACATGGGACCTTTCGACGGTTTTGGAAACAATGAAAGGTGCCCGGTTGAGCCAATCTATTTATCAGACATGAAACATTTGTCGTTCAAGACAGTGTTTCTAATGGCTCTTGCTTCAGTGAAGCACATAGGGGATTTGAAAGCGCACTCAGTAAGCGAAATGTGTATGGAATTGGGGCAAAATGACTCGAAAGTCATACTCAAACCAAGACATGGGTACGTGCCTAAACACATTGTTCAGGGCTCAGGTTATTTAGAGCTATTAGAGCTCAGAGCTTCCTTAGCCCAGTCAGGGCATTAAGAACTTCTGTGTCTCGCTCGTCTGTTTTCAGACAGACTGAGCCGCTCTTCGTTTCGTTCAGCGGACGTACTAAGGGACTAGCCACATCAAAACAGAGCCTATCCAGATGGATAGTTGATGCCATAGCGCTGACCTACACTTCTAAAGGCTTGCAGTGTCCTTTGGGTGTCAGAGCGCACACCACAAGAGCCGTGGCCTCGTTGTGGGCTTGGTATAGCCGGATTACTTTGCAGGATATCTTTATGGAGGCAGACTGGGCCACCCCATCTATATTTATAAGGTTTTATAACCTAGAGGTTCCCGCCTTACAGGCTAAACTACTTTCGGTCTAAAGATCAGTACTGTCTGCCCCAGAATACTGAGACCGCATGAGCACCGCTCTCTGCTTGATAAAATAAACTTCATGGGCAATGAGTAAGACCCATACTATTACCCAGTTCAGGCCGACCATTTTCACCCTGACTGTGTGGAAGACTGTTGATGGGATTAGCTTCCTTAGGATGCTACTTGTTGGGAATGACACATATAACCTCTTCTAAGACTCTTTGTGAGTCCCTGGTGTTTAAGTCCCCTTGGGACATTGGTGTTGGATGCCAGTAAGCACGGCGTTTCACACAGTGTGCCCCTAGTGTAACAGACCGTACTCTGTTACTAATGTAACCTTGGTTCTGCCTAGAAGAGGTAACAAGTATTGCGTATCTTTGCCGTGCATGCAACACGTTGTCGTCCGCTTCGGCAAAGAAAAAACAGATTATATCAGCCCATCGAGCTGTATTTATAGGTTCAGGCCACACCTGTCTCAGCAGGACGTGACGTAGTGGGCACAAAGCACCCCTATTGGATCTGACGTCACCATGGGTCTCTTTTGATAGGCTGCTGCAGTTGCCGCAGGACAGCCAATATGCACGTGAGCCATCTTGGCTATGTCTGCATGCTGCCACAACGTGTTTTACATTAATTCAAAATTATGGAAAATTTCTAAATCTTGTGGAAAAGAGGTTTCCCCCCCCTAGCGTAAGATATTACGCAGTACTTGTTCCCTCTTCTAAAGAGAACTGAGGTTGCGTTAACCACATAGATAATAATCAGAAATGTAACTCGAGCAACAAATCAGGATATTAAAATGATTTCTGAAGGATCATGTGACACTGAAGATTGGAGTAATGATGCTTAAAATTCAGCTTTGATCACAAGAATAAATTACATTTTAAAATATATAAAAGTTATTTTAAATTGTAATAATTTTTCAAAATATGACTTTTTTACTATATTGTTTTTTGTTTAAAAAAAAAATGCAGCATTAAAAAAAAAAATCTTACCAAACCTTCCAATTTAGAAAAAAAAAAATAAATAAAAATTAAACAATGTAGTCTTTAATTTGCAAATTTGTATTCATGTTTTAACCTTTTAAAATCAAGTAGGGTGTTTAATAGCATTTTTACTTAAAAAAAAATATATATATATATACTTTTTATTTAATCGTGAAAGTGCACTGGCATTTGTACAAGATGTACAAATAATTAAGCTTAAAACAAAAACAACAATGTATTGCAAGCATTACTGATAATCTAGTAGGCAATTATTTGAAAAATTTGGCATTAGCAACTAACCTTTTTTATAGATAAAAGACAAAAATGGTGTAAATATTGTATTTAAACTTACTAAGTGCAATCTTCTATAATTGTAGTGAATAAAAAAAAAAAACTGAAATAACTGATCATATATAGATTCAGACCTGCAATGAGTCTTCCTGGGGTCTCAGCTTTGAGTCTCTGGAACTACGAGAGCGGGACTCATTCCAGTGCATTTCTTCAGCTGATTTAAGACAAAAACAAAGACTATTACAAAAAACAAATACATGACTTGAAATTAAATAAATAAAAAGTAAAACTGAAATGTATAATATACAGTCCATTTAAACAATCTAGATATCAACAGATTTACACTTTTTTAATTACTGTACGTGACATTGTCCCTTCAGACAGGTAACATCTCTAAAAACTGACTTTTGTATCCTCCTCCTCTTCCTCTCCCTCCACGACCCCGGGGTCCCCCACCCCTTTTGCGTCCATCAGGGGCCCTTTTGGGGTAACCCATGGACTCCTCATCTGTGGGGGCCAGGGACCAGTCGCTGAGCTCATCTCTGTGGTCGGATTCAGTCTCGGATGCATTGGAGGCCTCAGAATTGGTGCCTGGGCCAAATATAGTGAATAATATAATTGGCACTACGCATTAATTAGTAGATGAATGAAGCTTAAATATCAAACCAATGGCCATTATGTTACAACAAAGTAATACTATCATATGAAAACAGTTGTCTTTAAATGAAATGACTGGTTTCACAGAAAAGGCTTAAGCCAAGTTACAGACTAAAATGCACGTTCAAACTGTTTAAACTGAAAGCAACTCGCACAAACACATCTTAAAATACATCAGTGCCATTTTTCTGTCTCAAGATGTACACCAGTAATGTTTTTTTTTTTTTTTTCTAAGACATGTTTATAAAAGCTACTTACATGAACTAATTGAACCAAGGCCTAATCCTGGCTTAATCTAAGACCTTTCTGTGGAATCAGGTCAAAATATTTTAAATGTGATGTTTGGCCACCAATTTCCATAACTAGTTAAGGTCTACGTTTATCATTTGATGCTGGTTATACCTGAGGCCAGTGTGGGGCCCCGTCTCCCTCTCCCTCCACGACCGAAGGGTTTGCTGCCTCCCCGTGATGGTCCCATTCCATTATCAGCCATGAAGGGTTTTTCCTTCTCAGGTCGTCCCGGCAGAGCTCTGGGTCCTCCTCCAATCTGTCTGAGCTGTTCGTCGATCTGCAGTCTCTCCATTCGCAGCTGATCAACCTCCTGAACAAAACCAGAAAAAACATGAACAATGTTACCATCACACACAAACAAAGAGGCTAAATCAGAGAAGTGAACATCACATGATTATCTTTGGGGCATTAAGTATGTCCCTAGTCAACAATTGCTGCTTTGCAACGAGTAATAATGTGCTCTGCGATCAGAATCTTCTCAACGAGAAGAGTAAGTATTCTGAAGGAAATGTAAAATGCTTATTAGAGCAGAACTCGTACCAACAACAGCACAAAACAACAAATGCTAAGGTCAAAAAACAACCCCAGGTGTCTATGATATTCCGGGGACATATTAAGGAAATTCTTCTTGGGAAAGAATTTAATAATGTCCTAAATTTCTAAGAAATTCTAAGAAGTGTTGTCTTGGGAAAATGAGAGGCTTTGGATTACTGATTTGATTGTATGGCAGTTCTATCAGAAAGCTTACTGACCAACTCAAACACCTCAGAGGGTGTTCGCGCTTTTATAAAGGTGCAGTAAGCGATTTCTGACAAACACTGTTGAAAGTGGATAAGACTGAGCACCACAACACGTTTTGAACCAATCAGCAGTAGGGGGTGTGTCCGCTTATGATGGGGGAGGAGAGAGTGAGAGACATTACAAAAGCTCACAGGAATACCACTGGAAAAAGAAGGGTGGTGATTAGAAATATTCAAATATTCCCGCGTTAATATTAGAAAAGCTTTCCAGCATTGAAGAGACCGAAGCGGGGAGGCTTGAAAACGGAGGTTGCTTTCTTTCTGCTTCATACATGAGGTTTGCCATATCACAGAATCAAGATATGCTGTTGTTGTAATGTTAGCACCAAGAAAGTCTGATAGTTCACTTGCTAAATAAAATCTTTTTTTGGTACGGTTCGCTTTCACACTGCTCTTTTTGCAAGTGAACCAAAATGTGTGAACAAAACCACAGGTGTGCTAAGGTCGTCCATTCATTAGGCAAGGATTCTAAAGTAGGGAAATCAGGAAGTGCAAAATAGACTCAGCATGGAGATATTTCATAGTGCAATATTTGTTCTTTTATTAATTTTGTGTTATCTTGTATAAACGCAATATGAAGAAACTAATGAGTAATGTCATCTATACGATGTTGTGATTTGGATTTTGAGAAGACGACGATGTGCTGGAAGACGTTCTGGCGGAGAAGACATGCTCTCATGTGCGCCTACCATGGCATGCTGACAGTGTGTAACGGTCAATTTGTGCTTTATAGAAATCTGTGTTAAGATGAGAACTGCACATGTGTGTAGTGCCAGTTAGATTTTCTTTGTATTCTTTCTTTTATTTCCTTTATCTATTGTGACCACAGTTGAATGTCTGTTTGTGTACTTTTTCTCGCTCATCCCCATGTATGCGGACGAGTGTAACGTTTGAGTGGTTCTATAGACCCTTTTACAGTTTTACAGTGGGCGGAGCTTAGGTGAAGGCAGAAAGATCCCTCTGGCCGCTTCACTAACACTAGTTAGCAAGGATTGTTAACTTGTTTTTTAACAATGACTGGAGAAAATCCGATATTATCTTAATGTGTAAGGTCACTCAGTGTCCAGAACTGCGATTGTTATTTCCAAAAGTTATTTTTAACGGACGGAACCAGATTGGCCGACCCGTAGCCGCCTACACACTCACTCAATGCGTGGACAATCTGACAGGATTAACGTACGTTACCTTGGTTGAGTGGCCTGACTTCTACACCTACCTTATAGAGAAACTGATAGTAAAGAGAAACTGAGGGCATATAAATCTTTAGATGCCTATATGGTCCTGTACAAGACTTGTGTGTACGATCCGCAGTTCTGCCGAGACAACATTATAAAAGAGTGACATTACAGTGCGATTTTAATGATGTGAATCTTTTCTAGAAATAAAAGTTCTAGATACAGCATATTCATTTTTCATCAATTCTTGCACCAAACAACACAACAAGATGACTTTCAATAATAGTAACAATAATTTAAGCTCCTTATTATGTAGCCGAATCTGTGCTGTTTTGTATTGGCCGCCTCCAGTTTTCACTTCCAGTTTCCAGTTTGCCTCCAGCTAGCGCCGTGACGTAACTGTGACGTCGGCGCAAAAGGGGTCTATTAAATGCGGGGAAATACGACAACTCTCGTGCATCTTTTCATCTGCCAATCTACTGTTTTTTTTTATCTCAGGGCAACATCTCAACTTTGCGTTACAAGTGGCACTGCACAGAAGACGGATAAGGTATAAGTTTTTATTCATAGAGAGGGGCTATGTTCACACATTCAAATAATGAGATTCTTATTGTAATAGGGCCTAACAAGTGCTGTCAATGTTAACACTTGCAATTAAGTTTGTCCAGTTTAACCTAATTAAAGCAGCATCATCCTGTATTGTTCTACTGTTACATTATATGAACTGCAAATGCTTTTTTTGCATCTATGCGCGATTAGACTAAAGAAGAACGCTTAGAACGCTCTGTATGTGAATGTCCTGATGCACACACACTCACTCATTCATTCATTCCATTCCAATGATGCACACACGACACGACGCGCAACAGTATCGTGTGGCCAGACAGCACACCGGCAGCGACGCAGTTAAAGGAACACTCCGACTTTTTGGGACTTTAGCTTATTCACCTTACCCCCCAGAGTTAGATAAGTCCATACATACCTTTTTCATCTCCGTGCGTGCTATAAGTCTGTTTGACGCATCCACCGCTAGCCTAGCTTAGCACAAAGACTGGATGTGAATGGTTGCAGCTTTCATACTAATCCAAATGAGTGACAAAATAATGCAAACGTTTTCCCATTTACATGTTGTGGTTTGTATAGTCACAGAGTGTGCAAATATCAAGGCCATATGAGACACGGACATCTTTTAACCGTATAAATACTATATTTTCTGAAGGCTAAGCACTGCTACTTGGGCTGATAACCCAAGTGATAACCATCTCCTGAGACGCACCGTGACGAGGAGCAGTTCGCTCAGTGTTGGAATAAAGAGTCAGCAATTACTAACGTTAGATAGAAAAGCATAGTTTATCATGGGTGTTTGCTTTACTGTATGAGCTGTGACAATAAACAGGGGAGACCAGGTAATACAGTACCATGTTTCATTGATTTCCAACCAAAAACGCACCCAGATTTATAAATATCACATGAATAAATAATTATTATTACAGGAATCAATATATTTTAAATGCAATTTATTCGCTGAACCAAATGTATTCAACATTAGCCTATATAATACAGTATTGCATTACTATAGGATAGAATAAGGGGAAAGTAATAGCACAAATTGTTTTTGCACAATGAACTCACAGCCTATCGTACCCTTTTGCACGCTCAAGTTCGTTATTTCCATGGTTTTCAAATTTAGGCTACTAGGCGCGCCGCGCGCAGGGTGCAAGTTCAACGCGGTGAACGCGCTCGTTTTTTTTCCAAGCGCGTCCGCGCCGCATCAAGATAAAAACATTCATACCCTAATCATATAATAGTGTCACTAAGGTTACATTAGATCTGGCTAATGGCACTGTTACAGTAGGTCATCTAAAAACATAACGGAACACTTACCTCAGCCGCAGGTGATCCACTTGTCCTGTCTGTGCTATCGATGGGATGGCCGTATCCTTCAGCACATTATGGTCCGTGTGGCAAATTCCATTTTTTCAAAATAGTCGTCCATTGAAATGTACCGAGCAAACATAATGTCCCTTGATAATCTATTTAGGTGTGTTTGGATAAATATCCAGAGTAAGTTAGCTGACTCTGTTACCCAAACACTGAGCGAACTCTCCGCTCCTCACCACGGCGCGTCTCAGGTGATGCGGTTATTACTCCGTCAAAGTAGCAGTGCTTCGCCTTCAGAGAATAGTTCCCAGGTTTTATACGGTTAAAAGATGTCTGTGTCTCATTTGACTTTGTTATTTGTACATTATGTGACTATACAAATCACAACATGTAAATAGGAAAACGTTTGCGTTATTTTGCCACTCATTTGGATTAGTATGAAAGCTGCAACCATTCACATCCAGTCTTTGTGCTAAGCTAGGCTAGCGGTGGGTGCGTCAAACAGACTTATAGCACGCACGGAGATGAAAAAGGTATGTATGGACTTATCTAACTCTGGGGGGTAAGGTGAATAGGCTAAAGTCCCAAAAAGTCGGAGTGTTCCTTTAAGTGCTTTCTTGCAATTGGGTCGGTTCATGTTGACATCGTAAACAGTACCGAGACCACCTCTTCAGCCGGGTCTCGGTTCGGTTATTTGGTCCGCACCCGAGTTTGATTGCTGTATTCACAGCCCAAAAGGTCCGCACCAAGGGGGGAAACGAACTAAAGTTCGATTCAATCGAACCAAACAAGGCAGGTGTGAATACACCCTTAGTTTTATTAGAGAAGCATTATTTTGCTTCGCTTCAGCTATGATGAAAGAGACACTTTAGACGTTTTGGGGGTGGAGCAATGAAGGGAGGGGTGTGTTTGTGTTGATTTCAAATATCAACAAAGCTTTCTAGAAATTATATTTTGATTATTTTTAAGAGCATGTCTGGTGCATTCATTTGCGCGCTCCAAAAATTCAATAAACGTCTTACCTTGTGTATTAACGACAAGTTTAAGGTTACGGTGATTTTTAAGAATATTCTTTTCAGGAACTCAAATTCCTCTGAAGTTTTGTTTAAAGAACTATCTTAAGAGAAAAAAATATATATGATAATATCTAAAAGAAATGTTTTGGGGAATACCGTATTTCTAAACTTATTTTTCAGTTAGAAATTAAAAATAAAATAGCAGTTTAGAATAATTTTATTCTCAATAATATTTGAGAGAATGAAGCCCATGGTCTCTAGTCAATTCTTTATTGCAACACTATCAATTTGTTCTTTTTTATTGACCGCCAAACATAAACTGAAAAATAAACGGAAATAGTTAAACACCAAAGTTTAATAGTCAGGGTTTACAGATTATTTTAATCAATAACCACAAGTATGACCAATAGTAATTATGCAAGCAACCTAAAAAGTGTTTCTTACCTTTAGATAATTCAGATGGTAGTCCAGCAGAATACGTGCATTTGAAATGCTTTCCTTTGTCCCAACAAACACAAACGGCACCATTCCCTACAGTTGCAATTGAAGTATGAGAAGGCAGTATGAATTATAATTTGTCAACATGAATGATAAATTCCATATTGGATAAATACAGTCAACCAAGGAGTAGGATGTATATATTAGGGATGGTGCAATCAGGATTTTTGCAAGCTTTATATAAGTGATATGTAGGCTCTCTGAATGATCTCGTGTGATTTCACAGGGTTCCTGCACACTTTTTAAAGTCAACTTTAAGTCTTTTGAGACCTTTTTAAGACCTGAAGAAATCAAAATTAATAGCATACATTAGGAGTGTGCAATATTGACAAAAGTATATCTTGCTATTTTCAACATTTGTTGATAATAATTAGATGATATTTTACTGGTTGTGTTTTTGTGCTGGTGCCATGGCTGGTTTAGGCCTGTTGTTAACAGCAGACTCCCAAAGATATTTATATTTTTCATATTCTATGCAGTTGTCAGTTCACAGCAGTGATTAATTAATGTGCAATATTTGTCACCTTAAATTGATTTCCAGGGGCATTTTCACCTATTTATGGCCATTTTTTTCTAATCTTATTTAGAGTTATGCATCACGTTTTATGTCAAATACTGACAAATTAACTTATACAGTACTTATACTTATTTATACAATAATACTTAATTACACAATAATTATACAGTACCCCTGTTAGCAGTCAAATTAAATCATTCAATCAAAATCCATCTTTGCAGTGCAGAGGTGACAGAAGCAGCATCAGAAGTGGCATTAATATTTACACTCCATTTACAATTGCATAAAAAAAATGGATATAAGGGTTTTTTTTAATCAATATTTAAATATGAAATGATTTCTACCTTTAACATTTTACTTTAAAAATTAAACTATAACCGCCAGTGACAAGTCAGTGTCTTAAAGGGATAGTTCACCCAAAAATGAAAATTCTGTCAATATTTACTCACCCTCATGTTGTTCTAACCCCGTAAGACCTTCGTTCATGAAATCTGAGAGCTGGATCACTCCTGCATACTAGTCCATAGGCTTCTTGAGGAATTGAAACTTGCCGGCCTCGAAAAGTTATTAAAGACATCGTTAAAATAGTCAAAGTGACTTCAGTGGCTCAATCTTAAGTTTATCAAACGACGAGAATAATTTTTGTGGACAAAAAAACAACAAAAATAACGACTTTATTTCAACTATTCATTTACTTCACTCTCTGCCTCGAGTCAGGTTACTAGTTTAATAGCGTAAGCTTCTGTTATTGTACGTCACACGCATCACACACATGACCAGCGTCGGCCAATAGTGAGCCTACGTGTGACCTAGCTTTTCGCAATCACACTACGTTAACTGAACAGAGGTCCATAGAGAAGGAAGTGAATAGTTGAAATAAAGTCGTTATTTTTGTTTGTTTTTGCGCACAAAAAATGTTCTCGTCATTTGATAAAGTTAAGATTGAGCCAATGTAGTAACTTAGACTATTTTAACAATGTATTTAATAACTAACTTTGAGGCCGGCAAGTTTCAGTCCCTCAAGAAGACTATGGACTAGTATGGAGGATCTTAATTTGTGTTCCGAAGATGAACGAAGGTCTTACAGGGTTGGAACAACATGAGGGTGAGTAAATTAGGGCTGCCCCCGACTAAAGATATTCCTAGTCGACTAACACTCCTGCATTTTAGCGATTAGTCGAATAATCGTTCATTTATGATATTAATATAAAAGCTTGCGTATATACAAGGAAAGGAATAGTCCAAAGTTGAAGTTTAACACTTCCATATGACAGAAAATGCTAAAGCATGATATTAGCACGTTCAAACTGAAAATTAAGCGCTTAAAACAGAATAGTAAAGCGTTTAAAGTATACAACGCTTACGACACGTTATTGTAGAATAAAAAAACAGCAATCAGACTGCCTGTGCAAGTGTGCATTTTAATAATTTATTATCAAAAATACAAACTGTAACAGTTAAATGAAAAAAAAAACAGTTTTGAATAAAATAAAATAAATTTCGTTCTTTAAAATAAATTAAATAAACTTATTAGTAACTTAGGCCTAGTACAAAACAAGGCAAAAAATAAATAATACTGTAGCAACACTGTTTGGTATAAAATACAGCGGAAAATTTAATTAATATATTTTTTATATTGTTCAAAAGGAAAATTAATAAACGAACAATTTAATAAATGCACATGGCATATCGCAGACCGCCAAAACATATATTGCGAATAAAAAAGAAGGCGGCAAACAAATCAACAGCCTAAGTATTTGATTAAATTGTTTAGAACAACTAGGCTATATTTAAGAAAAAATGTGGAACAAATATGCTAATTCAAAGGACAAAAATATCAGAGCAAAGCCGCAAACTGCCATTTAAGACGATGGATGATTCTTAACCTGAAACAACAAATTGCAAACATCAGACTAATTTTTCTTAGAATAAAAAAACGACTTCTGCATTATATAAAAACGAATAAATAAAAATAATATTTATTTATTTGTATAGCCAACCGTTATAAAAATATCCGTTTTTTGTTGTTTTGTTTTTTATATAGCCAACGGATCGCAAACAGAAACACTTCAAAAATAAAATTAATTATTCTTACCTAAGCTTTCAATTCGATTTAATTTTTTTTCATATTATGTGAGAGGAACACCGCTTGTCCACATTGTTGGGAAGAAGGGAGCTTCTCGACATGTTCACAATGAAGCCGGTGTTCTGTCGATTTTTGCTGCCTTGTCGAAAAATGCTACCGTAGCGCGAATTGATCACAGAATGCCGATTAAAGTCGTATGAAATACAATTCTAATACAATTCTTTGAAAAGTGCCTTTGCCTTTGAAAAGATGCGCTCTGATGGAGTGGATGTGGAGGCGTTTAGCTGCTTTAGCGAGCTTTCAATATCGATGTTAATTTTTTTGCCACCATGCCAATGGTCCCGAATCAACCTTTGTTTTATCTGCCAAGTACATTTTTAGTTCATCCTTCTCTTCTGCATGCTCTTCCTCATCAATTTTCCTTATTCGGTTCGAGCTCACCCTCCGCAGGGCTAATATACTGTCATGATCACTTTCTGGCGCGCAGCTTCTGTAAATAAAATTTCTGTCAGATCCGACACTGTGGAGTACGCATCTTCTCGTTCGTGTTGGTCAAAGAATGACAAGCTCTTTAAACGTGGGTCACAGACAACAGCTTGTTGGTCGCGATATTTTCCGATACCTCTTCCACAAGTGCGTTTTGGTATACCGCGAGGCACGAGATCTCGTTGATCTCTCGTTGCTTTAATGTCATGTCATACACTGACTGCGCAGCCCCTGATTGCGTAATTTTTTCAAGTAATATTTTTTTTTTTTGCGACTAACCGACTAATGAAAATGTATTCGACCAAGCCCTCCTCATATCGACTAACATTTAGTCGACTATTTGGGGGCAGCCCTAGAGTAAATACTGACAGAATTTTCATTTTTGGGTGAACTAACCCTTTAAGCCAGTTGAGAGAGTCATTCATTCAACCGATTGGTTCAAATGGTTGATTTGTTCGGGAAAGAAGCAAGTGATTGTTCATTGAATCGTTAAAATGATTCGTTCAAAACGTGGATTTCATTCAAGAAATCAACGCTGTCTGTTGCACTGAGACTCTGTTGCTACGGTTTCATTTTGAAATTCTAGTCGGCGAAATAAAGGGAAAACAAACAATTTTGATAATGTTATGTCTAAAAGTAAGTAATTTAACTATTATATAACATAAATATCACACTCCTACACAGGAAAACGGCACTCTTACTGAAGTGATATTCTAATATAAGAACATAATATAAATATAAGACAAAAACTAATTTGGGGACATACCAATAACCATAAACATAATAAATAGCCTACATGTCTATGCCTATAACTGCACACATCATGCAGTGAAAGCACGAGAGACAAATGCGATGTCAGCTCACAGTGCCTCGTACATATCGTTAAAACAATTAGAATATCATAATAGACAATATAAACATCGCACACCCCTATGCACATAAAGAATTAACTTACGATTGAACTGACATTTGCCAACTTTCTTCTCTCGCGTGCAGGACCCAGACGTTATTCTGCCGCGAATGTGATGCGAATTGTCACGTGAACAAACAAATCCACAAAGATAGAATAGGCCAATAAAAATTAATACGAACGCAAATTAGAGTTTTAATTTGAAAAACATTTAGATATGGGTAAGTCGAAGTGTCATCTAAAATTTAAGACCTTTCATAAGGAATTATAAGACTTTTTATGGCCATATATTTTAAAAATCTAATTTAAAACTTAAGGATCCGCGGAAACCCTGTTTCAAGTGGCATACTAAACCCTTGTGCATCCTTATGGACATTTTTGTCTTTTTCATTTTTTTTTTTTATTTATTATTTTTTTTAATCACTTTGTGTGAAAAAATTGCACTAGGTACACAAAATACTTCCTCTCAACACCTTCTGAACATAAATGTCTACAGTGAAACCAATTAATATATATATATGCAATTTCGCTAGATTGCATTGTAGATTGTAGGCTATCAATTGCATTGATTAATGCAGGATATAATCCAGTCTTCACAAATTACTATGAATTAATGCATTTTCTCGTGCATCATCACTTCTGCCAGCCATAAATACAACAACGAGTGTGTTCAGCCGCCCACTCACTGACCTCCTCTAATGGAGAAGGCTTTTTGTCGTTTTCAGGTTCCACTCGAACTCTGACAACTCCCGATTTATCCACAACCTCTTGAATCAGCTTCCCACTCTTGCCAATGACTTTTCCTGCAGGACGGGGGTAGAAAATAATTTAATGATTCACATTAACCATCACGGTGGAGGACAGAAAGGAGAATGTTGCTCATTTCGTTTGTCCTCACCGACTAAATTCTTAGGAACTTTGATAATATCTTCAGAAAATTCCAGGTAGCTTCTGGCCTTCCGTACAGCTTCCTGGTCCTGGAATCGAAACAAAATTCATCACAAAGACCCATCAAGACATCTCAGATATGAGTTTTATTTTCCTTACATATTCTAACAGCCATCAAATTTATTTAATTGACTTTATCTACACCAGAATGTCCCCAATAAAGCAGTTACCTCTCCATAGATGTGAAACGTGCAGGTCTCTTCATCCAGATCTATGGTTGTGACCCCAGGAATCTTTCGGGCTTGCTGGATATTCGCCCCATGGGTGCCTATGGCCAATCCCATGAGGTCATCACGCACCACAAACTGCTCATGGAACCTTGAAGCCAGTTGCCGAGAGCTCTGGAAGATATATATATATATATATATTTTAATTAAATAAGCAAATGGAAAACCATGATGCCATGTGTTTTAAAAGTGGTTACTTTTCTAGATTTAAGCTGCTTAAATGTTATGGTTAAATGCATGTTCAGTTCAGTTGAGGCTTTTGGGGAGGATTTGCAAGGACGTGTCTACAGCATTAGATTTTGAGCAAATTTTTACGTGTGAAATTGCAGCGCTGCCTGACACACAACACAAGAGTGCTTTCTGTACGAAACTCAACAGTGGGTTCAAAAGCCCTCAGCAGTCCAGCTACACTTGTACCGTACAAAAAAATAATAAATAAATCCTGCACTGTTTAGCCACACATTTGATCGCATTCTCCAAATCAAACACACTTATGCAAAGAAATAACTGCATTAATAAAGTAGTTGATTATGGACATAAATAATTTATTCAATTAAACAGAAGTCAATAATGAAAAAATAACTAAATAAAAAAAAATTAAATATGTTTTTTTAAAGACATTTCAAACCATAAAACATACAAATTCAAACACTGGATGAAATACTACAATTTAATTAATTTAAAAAAACAAACTATTCAATGTCTCATATGCGCTAATTTGAAAAAAAAAAAAAAAAAAAAAAATATATATATATATATATATATATATATATATATTAGGGGTGTAACGGTTCACAAAATTCACGGTTCGGTTCGATACGATACACTTGTGTCACGGTTCAGTTCGATATGGTTCGGTACGTTTCAAATACAGCAAAAAGAAATAAATGGCAGAGAAATTTCCTTGATTAAATTTTTTTAATTATATTTTTATTAAAACTAACATCATAAAGTATGATATTTTTTAACTTTGAACAATGATGGCACTATACTTGACTTTTCTTAGGAGCATATAAAACAAAACAGCTCCTTGGACAAAATGAAATGGAACATTGTAGTAGTTATAAAACAAAGGTTTATTTTAGTTTAGATTAACATTTGAGGGCAGCAATTGTATTGATAATGTCAAAATACAACTGACGTGATGTTACTTGAAAGCATAGCCTACTATTGTAATTTAAACAAATAACAGCTAATATTAATAATAATTATCGCCATTATAAGCCATTATTTTTGCCTATATATAATTCATGTAATTATTTTTTATTTTTTTTACAATCGAGTCCTGGTGTCCACTACAGAGGTCATACCATAACATATGAATAAAATATCTTCTTTCTTTTTTTTTTTTCATTTGTTTCTTATGCTCTTAACAATGTGATTACATGAAAAAGAAAAAAAATGACTTTTGAAAAAAAAAAAAAAAAAAAAAAACATTCTGGGCCTATAAAGATAGGATAGGCTACAATAACAAGTGTGTCTTCTGAGTGACGGTCCACCATCAGGCTAAATAAAGGCTGTTTAAAGCTACACAAAAAGTGTAAATGTTATTGAAATAAACAGACAGCCCACTTCCCTATTTCGCGGATTTTGGAAGATGTGTGATAACAGTTGAAATTGTTGTTGTAAAGGCAAGAGCAACACATCGCTAATCCAAATGTAGATTGTTTCTCTTTCACTCTCACACATATGTAGGTTAGTTATAAACTCTTTAGACTTTTAATGATTAGTGCTTTATTTTTAAAATTTGAGGGTAAGAACCATGTAAAAAAAAAACCCTCATTTTGGGAATGGATTCCGGGAAATCTCCCTTATTTTCAATGTTCAATGTTGACAGCTATGCACGAACGTGCATCACAGAACAGAGCAAGGCAAGGTTTGCACTGAAACTGTCTTTTGCACCTTAAACCGTTTGGTTACAAGTAAAGTGCATTATATGGAGAAAATTCATGGAATGTTTTCATCAAAACCCTTAATTTCTTTTCGCCTGAAGAAAGAAAGACATGGACATCTTGGATGACATGGGGGTTAAAGTTATTTAAAAAGTGAACTACTACAAGTCAATCCACAGACTTTTCCTTTGTTCAATTTGCACAATGAACATGGGTTGGAGCACTCAAAAGAGCACCAGATTTTTGAACGTAACTTCAAAATGTACAAAGTTATATATAAACATAACTTTGTATGTGTGTGTGTGTGTGTCCAGGTCAATCTGTCACATTCAACTGCGGTTTCACCCCAAGTGTGTATTATTTGATCACACCATTTTTTTTTTTCATTATACACATTTTAAGAGCTAAAACAATACCGATGCATCTGTAAATATAGCTCTGCATATCAACAGAGTATCATATTATGCCATAGCAGGAGCATGGGCCATCACAGTGGTGCATGTATGCACGTAATACCCTTTTGCACCTTTTAAATATAGACTTTCCCTACAGCCATTGCATGGCATTAGTGTACAGTGATATGCTGCATGACTTTATAATGGTAAGTAATAAACCAGTGAAATTCATGATAACACCACCAGCCTTCCTTGATTCAGTTAAATTACAGCAATAAAATACGGTTGCACTACTGAAAAAACAAACAAACAAACAGTAGACCGCTTGAGAGTATCAGTAAGGTCTTTGTGGACTTAGTCGTGAGTGAGTGTTGAACCTGACACTAAACGTCACAGAGTCCAGGGCAATACCTCCAGCTGTCTGGTTGCTTCCTCATTCCTCAGTATCAGCGTCAGCTTTGTGCGCAGACTCCTGAAGTGCATGTCACTCAACATGCCTATTCGCTTTGAGGTGACCTCATTAACAGACTGAAAGAGAGAGAAAACAATACACTCAAGAAGACTTCAAAAATCATACATGCGTTCAAAGTTGGATTTAAAACATTCCAAGTTACCAAAATAACCAACTGCTTTTCTTCCGAGTCATAAGTGACGTTAAAGGCTCCGATCGCTTTTTTGAAGTCTTTATGTGCCGAGTCTTTTGCGCACCTATCCAAAAACAAAAACGATAGTTAAGTATGTACCTCACACACAAATTAAAGTTAGACAAACAAAGAATCCACTTGAACTTACATCTGTCTCAAGTCTTCAGGAACATCTAATCTGATTTTGAGAAAGGTGTTCTTCGACGCCGCTTTGTTGGGGTTCACAGGTCGTAGCCTCTCTAATGTGACGATTTCATTTAGCGTTGCGTCACAGGCTGCGTATTCTATCACGTAAAACTAAGTGCAGGACAGAGCAACAAAACAGTTACAATACATCACATAAATCAGCATTCACCTTCATGCCCATGTATAGTATCCAGGAGAACCCTTACTGTTGATCACTACCATTTAATGACCATGTTTAAGTGTTTTTGCTAGTAGTTTGTACATAAACTACTAAAATTTAATCTACTTTTATTGACCCTATGTAGCCCCGCTCCTTGTGTTCTGAATTCCAGTTTGTATTTCTACAGCATGAAGGTAAGATCTTTTTGATTTATGAATGAACCACTCATTTTGAAATCTTCCCGATCTACTGGCATTTATGATAAATTCTTCATGCTTCAAATATTATAATGCTAATGATAACTTGTTACAATAAGTTTATCCACTTCACCAATTGCTCTTTGACAGCGACGCCATAGAAATATTGGCTACCGCTGAAATGAAGTTCAAAGACACTTTGCATAAAGACGCATAAAGTCTATAGAAAAGGGGTGGGGCTACATAAGGTCTATATAACAATACAAATTCGCTTACCTCGCCTTTCACCATGCGAACTTTGGCAAGCCACCATCCACAAGGCTCCTTATCATTGGCCCTGGAGTAAACCTGTGCAAGAGACAGGTAAATGTGGTAAATACGCAAAAAAGGGCACTATGTAGACTTTAGTGCATGTGTGAAATATTTGTTTAAGGTTTAAAGAACGGTTTCCATGTTGAACAATCTTTGACAGCCCATACCTCCACTTCATCACTCTCGTTTATCTCTTTCTGAAAGCCGGTTGGAGGTGGAAACCGAACATCTTGGAAAGAAATCTGACGTTCTGGCTGCCAACTGCAAAGCAATAATAATTAAAAAAAAAAAAAAAAAAAACTTTATTTTTTTTCTTTTTAAATTTAGTTACATAATTTCTGACACATTGAATTAGGAAACATCCCCATCAGAAATCACAAAGTTATATAGGCATGTATGACAAGTGTATATTTATATTGAAGACAATTTAAACTGTACATCTGAAAACGAAACTATTTTGGCGTTCGTGTGCTGAAGTTGGTACTCACTTGTTCTCAAAAGACACTGTGACTGTACTCTCCTGAACATCCTTAATATAAGCCTGGAAGAAATAATGAGGTATTAATTATGCACTGATCTTGCTTCAAAACCTAGACAAGACTGCATTTTTGGAGGGCATCAAAGGTGCCTATAAACAACAGTTTGAGTGCATTTCTACTTTACACTTGGAATTGAACAAATTAGATATCGTTTGAAGGGTTCATTTTAATGGTTTGGCCAACACTGGCACCCTTTTACCTGTTACCTTGATGGAAGTCTTGGACGAATGCATCATTTTGGTAATGTAATGTTTTGACATGTATTCTTCATACCTTTTTTAATTCAATGTAAAGGTATGGGATGGTTTGGGGTGTGCTGTTTTTATCTTTCTTTCTTTCTAATTGTTTTTCATTTATATATGTATGCACAAAAGCATCTTCCAAATAAGTCTTCCAATAAAACATTATTTGTCAAAAAAAAAAAAAAAAAAAAAAAACACAGTCCACACTGAATGATATCAACAGAATTGTATTATTCTGAGAAATGAAATTCCTTGACTTTCACATTACTTTTCTAGCAGTCCATTAAACCAGTAAAATGATAATTTCCAGTTTATTATTATTATTTAGAGTGGATTATAGAAAATAAATATATAAACTGAGTCTTCTCTGAATTTCATAGGACTGTCTGTATTAATTCCAATTACTTTTCTCAGGTATGGAAACAAACATTTAAAAAAAAAATCCCCTGGTATTCCGTAAACATTTGTAACCATATGATTTTTGTATTATTATTCTAGCCATCCATAAATGCAGGCAAATTATCATTTCTAGCTTATTGTTATTATTTTGAGTGGGTGATAAAAATGCACACAAAATTATACATAAATTGACTAAAATATTTTTGGATAGTATTCATTTCAGTGGCTTTTCCCCGGCGTGGAAACAAGCATTATAAAATGCACTGATGTTTAACGATGTTTAACATGTTCCATGAACATGAAAAATGTCTGCTTTCATAACCTCCTACAACACCACAACTTAATTGCCATAAACTCTATTGATAACGCCCTTTTAAAGCATAAAGTTACAGACTTGGGGAAACATATTAATTAATTTTAATACCGTTTACATTGTCATGTACTCTTTAAAGGTCTAGAACCATACAGATGTTTTTAAAATGTAAAATGAAAAACATTACATCAATCGCCCATAAGTGGAGAGCTCAGTGTGCCATACACAGATCCATACAGAACCGAGCCAGCTAACGTTAACAGATTCCGGTGTCAGCACACTCGATATGCATTAATAATACACATGATATCGAATAATTTCGATGAATCTTTAACGCCTGCTGCAAACACACGTCGAAGAGGCCTCGAAGGCCTACTGCACCATCGAGCATTTGAGCTCTGCATTCACGGCGGACTGGACCAAATTTTACACACATTATTTGCATAATCCGTTGAGTTAGGCACACACAGGAGGCATATAAGACGAGATGTAAAGCCCACCTTGTAGAAAGCTCCACTCGCCCCTCGCACTTCCACCGCGAGCTCGTCCATGTCTCCAGTAATCTAATACACAACTGATCACAGCTGCAGCAGACGCGCGCGCTCTGTAACACACAAGAGCCTTATGCTCGGACGGTGTCGTAACTACCGTGTGTACCGGTGTTTGTGCTCGTTTTCAACGAAATGAAAGCAAAACATTGATGTGTAGACGGTCTGCAGTGGCCGCTGTTGAATGCATCGATGTAAACACAAGAGCCTCCCTATTTCCCCCCCGTCACGTGACACAGGTCCGCTTCCCTTCCGTCGAGAAGCCACGCCGCCGTCACGTGACACGCGTCAGCTTTGCTTCTTCTGCACTTGGCGTGCTATGGATTTTTTTTCTTTTAAATCCAAAATAAATAGTTTATACTTTTTTTTTAAACAACATACATTTAACAAAGTACATTTAACATATGTCGAGTCTTGAACAGTCTTTTTTACATCAAAATGATGTAATGGTGATGGAGAGGATGCGTGTTTTACGCGAATGAGATAAGATAAAAAAAAGAAAGAGATAACATAATATAGGGAGACCAACTGTCCTGTTTTCCCAGGACATGTCCTGTTTTCATATAACAATATAACAATTTTCTATCCATACAGAGGAGGCATAACCTACTTTAAATGTATTGAAATTAATAAGGTATCTTTGAGTAAACTTCGAGTATCATTTGAGTTGGCCCATGTGTTTGCTGGGCCGAGTGTCCTGGTTTTTGGTAATCAAAATATGGTCACCCTAACATAATATATGCCAACAATTGGCAATTTTCATTTAATTTCACGTAATATTATATATCTTCTTTCCCTTTTAACTTGTGTCTTCTAAAATGTCTGATAAACATGATTTAGGCCTTCTGTAACTCCTGTACAGTGGAAATGTATTAAATCAATGCTGTTTTTACAGAAAGTCATATTCTGAATTAGAAACAATGTTCCATTTTCCTGAGATAATGAACATTTCGAAAATTAGTCAGATTCAAATAATAATTACAAAATATTATAATTTTCCTATAAAAGTCATACATTGGATCACTAAATTAATGCCAGTCATGTTTAAAGACCAGGATACGCAGACTTAAAACTGTGACAAGTATGGTGTCAGATAAATTCTCTAAAATATAATGTCCACTACCGAGGACAAACGTTTTATGGGTGTCAATTAGATTTTACACAGGGAAAAAAATAAAAATAAAAAAAAAATACAGGCAGCTCTGGTTGCCAGCATCATACCCTAAAAATACGGTGTGTTACTGTATTTGAAATTAACAGCTTAAAAACAGTAACACACCATTTATTTTTTTACAGTGTATCTTTGAATAATGTTACAAATGGCTTTATAATTGTTTTTAATTTGTTTTATAATTGTTAGGTAAATCACAAGTGGGCAATTCATAATGATATTAAAAAACACTATTGACTATCTGAGGAGGGGACTGAACCAATAGCAACCAAACTGCTTTAGAATGGGGAGGAATCCAAGACCAAGATCATGTCAACTGATAACATTGATACATTCATGCTTGATGGACTAAAAAATGAGATTATCTTAAGTATGAGATTAAGTATGAACCTTTTAGGTGCCCTTGTGACCACTGATTCACCTAGCACTCAAGAAATATTATGTTGTCTGGCACTGGGTGAGACGGCTATGAATATTCTCGGTTGCCAAGTTTGCTTGAAAACACTGTAAAAAAATAAACCGTAAATTTTACAGTAAAAAAATGGCAGCTGTGGTTGCCAGAACTTTACCATTAAAATACGGTAGGAATGTTAATGGTTTTACAGACTTAACTTAAAATTTACAGTAATAAACCGTAATTTATTATCTGATAAAATGTGGATTTACCAACTTTTTTACCGATATCTGTTTTAGACCATTATAAAACACTGACAACCAACAATCATCACAGCAGTGATGAGAGTTACATGAGCAATCACAGCTCATCACAAGTGAATACTTGTATAAAGCAATACTTAATTAAAGAAGCTGCACAATGTCATTCACACAAACATTAAGCACCATCATTGTAACACACATGAAATTAAAAAAATGCAATAAACATACGATCACAATGACGACAGGATAGATGCTGGAGGATCTCATCAGACAAGCACAAAATACAATCCTTTTGAATTCTTTAGTCTATCAAGTCGCCAAGACTCAAGCCCAAATTAATGAGATATGTTAATGTACATTGATCAGCCACAAAATTTAAACCAGATCTTTCAAGCCAACAGGGACTTCCATTGATTGGATTTGTTTGTACAGCAGACCCTATAGATTTCAATCGAATTGACATCTGGGGAACTTGGAGGCCAAGGCATCAGCTTCAACTCAACCATGTTCCTCAAACCCCTCCTGAACAATTGTTGCAGTTCAACAGAGTGCATTATCCTGCTAAAAGGGGCCACAATCATTGCCATGAAGAGTTCTGCAACAATCTAGGTAGGTGGTACAAAGTAACATCCACATGAATGCCAGGTTTCCCAGCGGATCATTGCCCAAAGCATCACACTTCCTCCAGAGGTCTGCCTTCTTCCCAATCCTGCTATCACTTCCCAGACAGGCTGGTCTGAGTATTTCACAATCTGCTCAGTTACTGGGATTTTCACACAAAATTATTTCTAGGGTTTAAAGAATGGTGTGAAAAAGGAAAAAACATCCAGTATGCGGCAGTCCTGTGGGAGAAAATGCCTTGTTGATGCTAGAGGTCAGAGGAGAATGGGCCGACTGATTCAAGCTGATAGAAGAGCAAATTTGACTGAAATAATCACTCGTTACAACCGAGGTATTCAGCAAAGCATTTGTGAAGCCACAACACGCAGACCTTGAGGCTGATGGGCTACAACAGCAGAAGACCCCACCGGGTACCACTCATCTCCACTACAAATAGGAAAAAGAGGCTACAATTTGCAAGAGCTCACCAAAATTGGACAGTTGAAGACTGGAAAAATGTTGCCTGGTCTGATGAGTCTCGATTTCTGTTGAGACATTCGGATGGTAGAGTCAGAATTTGGCGTAAACAGAATGAGAACATGGATCCATCATGCCTTGTTACCACTGTGCAGGCTGGTGGTGGTGGTGTAATGGTGTGGGGGATGTTTTCTTGGCACACTTTAGGCCCCTTAGTGCCAAATGGGTATCGTTTAAATGCCACGGCCTACCTGAGCATTGTTTCTGACCATGTCCATCCCTTTATGGTCACCATGTACCGATCCTCTGATGGCTACTTCAAGCAGGATAATGCACCATGTCACAAAGCTTGAATCATTTCAAATTGGTTTCTTGAACATGACAATGAGCTCACTGTACTAAAAAGGCCCCCACACAGTCACCAAATCTCAACCCAATAGAGCATCTTTGGGATGTGTATCCCACAAATCTCCATCAACTGCAAGATGCTATCCTATCAATATGGGCCAACATTTCTAAAGAATGCTTTCAGCACCTTGTTGAATCAATGCCACGTAGAATTAAGGCAGTTTTGAAGGCAAAAAGGGGTCAAACACAGTATTATTATGGCGTTCCAAATAATCCTTAGGTGAGTATAAAAGTTCTGGATCTGTAAGATTTTTTACATTTTTAAAAGTCTCTGCAGCTCACCAAGGCTGCGTTTGTTTGATAAAAAAATATAATATTGTTAATATTAAGATAATTTAAAATTACTGATTTCTATTTTAATTTATAGTTAAGTATAATTTATTGCTGTGATCAAAGCTGAATTTTCAGCAGCATTACTTCAGTGTCACATGATCCTTCAGAAATCTCTAATATGATGATTTGATGCAAAACATTCATTGTTATTATCAATGTTGAAAACAGTTGTGAAGGACAACTAACAACTTTTTCAGGATTCTTTGATGAAAATGAAAATTCAAAAGCATTTTAAAAATAGGATATTTTTGAAAATGTAAATATAATTGTTTATAACATCATACTTTACTGTAACTTTTGATCAATTTAAAAAAACAGAAAAAAAAAACGTACTGACCCCAAACTTTTTAACAGTGGTGTTTATTGTTACAAAAGATTTCTATTTCAGATAAATGACAAATGCTGTTCTTCATTTTCTTCTCATCAAAGAATCCAATAAAAATTATATTTAACAATATTTCTTCTTTTTTTGGTATTTTTAATCAAATAAATGAAGCATTGGTGAGCAAAGGAGAGGTATTTTAAAACCAAATTTTTTGCTTGGAAGTAAACAAAGTAATGTGTACTGTACATGTTAAACTGCATTCTGACACATCATTGCATTTCTGCCTGTATTTTTTTAGTACACCACTGGATGTCAGTATTGTATAATGACCGTTTCATGAGTCCACTCACACTGCTATACAATTTAGTGCTCTGTTTATGGTATACAATTCAGACACCAAGTAACAGATTGTACAATACCAGGTATCTTTTTATCATTAAAAATACACAAGATTCAGTTGTCAAAAGTACTGAGTAATGTTTAATTCGTTTTACTCCAAAACAACAACTCAATGCGATTTAATTTTTGATCAAAAAAAAAAAATTCATAGGAAATATATTACTCATGTTAACCAACAGCATAACACTCACTCTCTGTTTCTAAACTCGTCACACGACACAATCCAATGTGTCCACTCTCACTCACAGCATGGTCGCTGGTGTTGTCCGACCACATCACGCTGAAGAGGAGAGAGAAAGGCGTAGGAGAAACATGTGGCCGGTGTGAGCGATACATGGCTGCCCTTCTCAAGCCCCTGCTGAAACGGATGAGATCAGTTGTGTGATGCTCTTGTCCCCAGTAGTCTGGCAGGGTGGGCAGCTTGATGGTGTGAGCACTGAAACTCTCTCTTCAGACAGCAGGTGGCCTGCCAAAATACATCAAGCAATAATGTGTGCTTGATACAGGAGGTGAGGAGGTCTATCAGCGAAAGAGACACAGCGGTGGATGAAGTAGGCTACACAAGCCCTGGACATTTGATGAAAAATACTCTAGTAAAAGTAGGAGTAAATAGGAATAAAAGCCATTACTGTAGCCTATATATATACTGTATATATATGAAGAGTTCAGATGCAAAAGCCTCTAAATGCCATTTGAAATTTTCTTCTTTATTGATGATTTTTATCAAACTTGTATATTTAAGTTCAGTAATTTCACTTAAATAACAATTAAATGGTAATTATCATTGCCATTTAAGTGAAATCACTGAACTTAAATATACAAGCTTGATAAAAAAAATTATCATTCTAGAAGAAAATTTCAAATGGCACT